CTGGTAGGAAAGTGCTCATCATGGTGGTGCTTGTAGTAACCGGGAGCTGGAAGCAGCCTGGGTCCTTTAGCGGTGGTACTGCCTTCAGTGGCTTACTCGGGAGATGATTTAAGGAAGCACCACTATGGAAGTGGGAGAGTGCGGCAGGGGCTCTTGGAGAGTCAGGGAAGGATGCGTGATTGGCAGGTCCCTCTGGGGACAATGGAAGCTTCCTGTCACTGGAGAACACAGGGAGACACTGCTGCCCATGACGCCAGAGTAGTCCCACCTGAGCAAGCGGAACACTGGGTATGGATGTTCCCTCTCCTCTCTTGCCAGGCTGAGGGCTCTTCCAGGGCCATTAGCTGCCGGCCCGTCTGGCCTGCCCAAGCCCAGGCCAAAAGACAGCCTTCAGGTGGAGACTGTCAAGTCCATACAGTGAGACACCGGGGGCACGGACTAGAACTGTTAGAGCCAAAGGGGGAGCACAAGGCAACACTTGTGTCATGTAGGCAGTTTTGGAAATAAACTGTAGAGGGAAGTGGATCAGAAACAGCCAGAGTGACTGAGCAATATCATCAAAATAAATTAAAAGCATGAGCAGAAAGCAAACCAGTTCGTATATGTCACACGCATCCATGGACATGACTTGGACACATCACACAGCACCTCTAGGTGGCGCGAGTGGTGAACGGGACTGCAGGTCGGGGAGGAAAGGAAGAGAAACAGAAGCCGAGGGGCCTCGTGGAAATTCAGAAAGAAAGGCGGTCATAACCTGGGGGAGTGACTTAAGACACCCACGTCCCTCTGCTCTTCTAGGTCAATGCACCTGGTCTCCCTGGATCCCCTCAAAACCCTCACCTCTGTTGTCACACACAGGACATCTGACTTGATGTGCCCTGAGAGCAGGAGCTGTGTGGAATGCAAGGTCCCGCCCAAGACAGCCTGGGACCAGGGGTCCCCAGGGAATTACTCTCCACTCCTTCAGTCGAGTCCCTCTGAACGAGACGCGCACGGGCCAGCCCAAGTCCCCGCCACTACAGCTCCCAGAGCTCCCTGGGGATGCTAGCGAGACTCTGGGGGTGGAGCCGTTCGCGGAGCCCACGAGGGCTGTTCCCAGGTTGGGCCCGTGAGTGGCAGCAGGGCCGTCAGCCTGATTCCTGGTTGAGGTCCCAGTGCAGCTCGGTGAGTGACTTGTTTATGCTTTGAAATGGATTTTTTTCCTATTGCAAGTGTGAGTCCGGGAGACTAGGCTTGAATTTCAGGTCGTGAGCCAGTTCAGGAAGTTTGGCTGACACACAGCGTGGATCCTTCTGCTGTAAGTCCGGTACAGGGTGATGGGGGGGGAAACCCTGATTCAGACACTTTGGGGTGGAGTCTCAGCCACACGGCGTCCCAGCTCTGAGGATGTGGGAAGGTCACTTAGCAGCTCTGACAGTCAGTTTACCCCTCAGCAAACTAGAGCTAAGAAGAGAGTTTACTAAAAAGGTGGTTGTGAGG